CAGCTCATGGAAGGGCTTCTTTAGTGGCTATTTTGGTCAATCTGATGACTGCGTGACGTGGTGTCTTCCTATTTGCATTGAATCTCCCTGGGGTCCGTTGAGCTTCTTGTACCTGTATATCTAGATTTTTAGCAAAGCCTGGAAAATTCTCCTCTATTAATTCTTCAAATAGCTTATCCAGCCCTTCAGTGTTTTCTTCTTCACCTTCCGGAACCCCTACCACCCTCAGGTTCGGTTTTTTAACATAATCCCACATTTCTTGTAGGCTTATTTCTTTTCTGTTAATTCTGTGACTGACTTCTTTAATTGGAAGGATTTGTCTTCAATCTCTAAGATTCTTTCTTCTGTTTGATCTACCGTGTTCTTGAAGCTTTCCACGGTGTTTTGTAATTCCCTACATAAGTCCTTTATTTCCAGGAGATCAGTTTGATTTTTCTTTATATTTCAATTTCTTTAGTGAATTTTTCTTCCAATTCCTGGATTTTTTTTTTTTGGTTTGTGTGTGTTGGTTATCCATTTTTTCTTGCATATCATTCAGTTTTCCTACAATCCATGTTTGAAATTCTTCTTCTCTTCTTTTAGTGTTCTGAGTTTGGTTAATGTCCATTGCTGGGGAGCTGTTGTTCCTCTTTTGGGTGTGCTTTCCGTTTGAGTCTTCATACTTCCGGAGTTCTTTCGCTGGTTCCTTCCCATCTGGAACAGTTGTTCCTTCTTGCCTTTAGATTTTTGTTTTGATAATGACACGCCCTGTTTAGTCTCTGAGCCAGTAGGTGGCGTTTGTTGGTGAGATTGGACCACACCAGTTATGATGAATCAGTAGATGCAGTAAAAGGGTGTGCAGGATGACCTCCCTGTCAGTAGGTTGCACTTGCAGGGAGGAGCGAGCTGCAGTGCCGTTTTTGGGTCCTGTAGCTAGCACTTCTTCCTCTAGAGAGGCCCTCTTGTGCCTCGGGTGGTGGGTGGGGCCCTGGCATTTCCAGGTGTGTCCTTATTCTCCACCTCAGTGGGGGAAGGACTGGGAGTGAGTCTGGGTGGGGCTGGGTTGGGTAAGTCTGCCCTCAGCCTGCACAACTGCTGTTAGCAGGGGTCAATGTTCTGCTCTTTCTTTCTGTGCAAATCTGCCAGGAGGGGCTGAAATGGCTCCACTCAGCTGAAAGCCTGGGCTTGGTGGGTGGGGCTGTCCAAGACCTGCACTCTGGAGAAAATCTCGCTCCCCTCCAATCTCCCCCTCTCTGTGTCCTCTCCCAGGCCTCTGCCAGCAAGCGGAACCTCAGGCTGATGGATCTCCCCTATCTGTGACGTGGACCAGGAGGTTCCCTACCCAGGATCGTAGCCTGAGCTGGGTGCACAGCCCTCTTTTAGGAGGAGGGTTGCCGCTCCGGCGCGCTGATTTGCCCCTGAAGGCACACGCTCTTCAGTAGGCTCTTTCACAGATATCCCTTCTGTGCCCCTGGGCAGTGCAATCGAGAACTAGGTGTATGGGGTCTGGTCTGCAGGCCTGTCCCTTGGACCCTGGAGATCAATCCCTGACCCTGCCTGGGGGAAGGGTGCTGGTCTTGAATCACCTACAGGGTGCCCAAGCTGGATCGATTTCACTCCACCTTGGGATTTGCCCCACTCTCCTGGAGTCCCCAGGCTAGTAGCACCTGGGAGGGCTGGCGGGTAGGGAACTCGCAGTGAGTACCCCTCAGTCTGCTGTAGGGTCCCAAAAGGAAAGGTCTCATTCCTTAGAGATGCCTCCGTGTGATGGCTAAGTTGTCGCTCTGGGCATCCACGGGTAGGGAGGGCGAAGGAGAGAATGGAACACTATGGTGTCTGCTGATAGGCCCCGGTCTGCACCCAGGGAGGTGCCCCGAGGGGGCTGGGAGCCCGGCGCTGAGTCCACGAGAGGCCACTGCTCACTGGTGGCAGCCGTCTCTGGGCTGGTGTCGGCAGGTCTCTCCAACCACTCAGGAGCCCACCAGCAGTCCGAGATGCAAGGGAGGGGGAAGTTAACCGCTGCACCTACCCTCGTCCCTGGTCTCCAAGCCTCTCGGGACCTTTCTCCTTCTGGTTCTCCTCCACAACGTCTTCCCGTGGAGTTTCCTGTAGTTTCAGGCACCCTTCCTTCCGACCCTCACCTGATCTATGTTTCTCTGCTAGCTCATTTTTTTTTTCTCTTTCTTCTAAAATTCGTCTTTTTTGCAGAGACACTCTCACTTGCGGCTTTTCTTGTCCGCCATCTTTTGTCATTCTTTTTTTTTTATTATTTCAGCATATTATGGGGGTACAGATGTTTAGGTTATGTATGTTGCCCTTGTCCCCCACTCCCCACTAAGTCCGAGTTTCAAATATGTCCATCCTTCGGGTGGTGCGCATTGCACTCTTTGTGTACGCATATACCCGTCCCCTCCTCCCTCCTCCCTCCCGTCCCTCCCCCCTCCCCCCCAACATCCAATAGATGTTATTCTTATATGTGCACTTATGTGTTGATCAGTTAATACCAATTTGATGGTGAGTACATGTGGTGCTTCTCTTTCCATTCTTGGGATACCTCACTTAGTAGAATGCGTTCCAGCTCTATCCAGGAGTATACAAGAGGTGCTATATCACCATTGTTTCTTAAAGCTGAATAGTACTCCATGGTATACATATACCACATTTTATTAATCCACTCATGTATTGATGGACACTTGGGTTGTTTCCACATCTTTGCAATTGTGAATTGTGCTGCTATAAACATTCGGGTGCGGGTGTGTTTCTTATACAGTATCGTTTGCTCTTTTGGGTAGATGCCCGGTAATGGGATTGCTGGATCGAATGGTACTTCTACTTGTATCTCTTTAAGATATCTCCATATTGCTTTCCACAGAGGTTGCACTAGTTTGCAATCTGTTTGGGGATTTTTTGATAGAGGCCAATCTCACTGGGGTTAGGTGATATCTCATTGTGGTTTTGATTTGCATTTCTCTAATGATTAGAGATGTTGAGCATTTTTTTATATGTTTGCTGGCCATTATTCTGTCTTCTTTTGAAAAGTTTCTGTTCATTTTGCTTGCCCATTTGTTGATGGGGTTGTTTGATTTTTTCTTGTTGATTTTTTTAAGTTCTAGACAGATTTTGGTTATCAGCCCTTTATCAGATGTGTAGAGAGCAAATATTTTCTCCCATTCTGTAGGCTGTCTGTTCACTCTAATGATAGTTTCCTTGGCAGTACAAAAGCTTTCTAATTTGATCAAATCCCATTTATTTATTTTTGTTGCTGTGGTGATTGCTTTGGGGGTCTTCTTCAAAAATTCTTTGCCTAGGTCAATGAGCACAGCCATTCTTGACAACTTCCTCTCCTACTCTTCTACTGTCTGGGCAACCCCACCCCATCATCAAACTGTCAACAGGATTCTATTACCACCCTTTTCTAAATCCACTCATGAGGATGAATTATACTAGAAGTATGTGAAACAGTGGGATGAATCATAGAAATCATGTCCCAGATGAGCAGATTCAAGCAATGTTTGGACCACAAACAAGGCCTGAGTTGAGATGGGGGCTTGCAAATCAAGAAACACGAGAGTGTCACAGCATAGAATAGGGAAAAAGCAGATGCCAGTATGGCTAAATTCTGGAGATAAAGCATGGATGCTTTTTTGGTACCTTTACTCATTCCCAGCAGGCTTGCTCTAAGGATTTTACAAACAAAGTTAGGGCAGGAGAATGCTGCCTCTCCTTATTCCTCACCATACTCTGAGTTCAGGCCCTTATTATCTCTCACCTAAATTTTTAAAAATCATAACCATAATATTATCACACCTTAAAGTTAACAATAATTCCTTAATATCATCCAATATCCATTCAATATTCAAATTTCTTCAAATGTCTCACCAAGATTTTTCTACATGCTTCTTTCTAGTCTTTCTGAATCCAGTCTTATTCCCCTTTCACTCTACCTTCATTGAGAAGCTAGTCAAATCTCATGGAAATAGTTCTGCCCTTGTCACTCTTCTCTAAACAATTATCTTCTATCACCCAGCCTTTCCTTGAATTCTACCTTTCCTCATCTTCCAAATATACAAAACAAAAAGATAGTTACAGTTCATAGAAAGGATGCATTCCTGAACATCTCTCATAATTTAAAACCCTCATAACTCAAATATGATGCTGATAGAGAATGGAGGCTTGTTTTGTTTACTGGCTAAAGTGGCACCACCATCTCCAAGGCTATCTTCAAGATCCAGAGTGGTGTTTGGCAATGGCATACACAGTTCACAATGTCCTTGACCTTTTAACTCATGAAATTCTTAGAAAGTTTTAATTAGGTTAGGGCTTTACATTATTTTATGTATTACATATAAAGTGATCATTTATTAGTATTTTTAAAATATCCCACAATTTAAAAGTTACACAGTTCAACTTTGTATATAATACAACTAACTGTACTGCATCATTATTCCCTGAGTATATTGTCTGTTATGTCTCTGCAGACAGGAATATCTTTCTTACCTCTTATCTGCCTATCTCCTATTAATTCTCTAAGACTCATCTAAAATATCACTTCCTCCTTATAGCCTTCCCTGTCTAGACAGAATGAATCATTCCCTTTTCTTTTTCTGAAACATCTTGCTTGTATGTCTGATATATATCCTATTATGGTATGACTTGTAAGCTACTCACATTATTCTATCATTGTAGTTAGTATGTTAGTATGAATTTCTTAGCTATACCTTATTTATGCGTGCTGCCTCTGGGCTCATAGTAGATACTCAGAAAGTGTTGACTTTAATTAATATTGCAGGATGATTGTAAAGATTAAATGCAATGATTTTTATCAATTACCTGATATAGTACTTGGTACTTACTGGTACTGAGTAAAGTTTCCCTAGCTTTTCCTCCTTATTTCTCCCAACATCATGTATTCTTTCCACAAGAAGAGACTAGAGAGTCCTTTCTTTCATTACTTGCATGTCTCTTCAGGGTACTAACATTGACTGTTTTGCATCTCTCATTTGTTTATTTATTTATTTTAGGTCACTGACCCTGTTCAAATCAGGGATCCCAGTGAGACAGCAGACAGAAATAATATGACATCGCCATCACTCCTGGGTGCCAACCCCATGGAGAACCCAGCACTGTTTAATGACATCAAGATTGAGCCACCAGAAGAACTTCTGGCTAATGATTTTAGCTTGCCCCAGGTGGAACCTGTCGACCTCTCCTTTCACAAGCCCAAGGCTCCTCTTCAGCCTGCTAGCATGCTGCAAGCTCCAGTACATCATACCAAGCCACAGTCTGCTCCCCAGGCCCTTGTGGTGTCCACTTCAAAATCTGATACAAGCACTTCAGCAAACATCCCTACTGTTCTGACTCCAGGCTCTATCCTGACCTCCTCTCAGGGCACTGGTGGCCAGCAGATCGTACATGTGATTCACACTATCCCCTCAGTCAGTCTGCCAAATAAGATGGGTGGCCTGAAGACCATCCCTGTGGTGGTGCAGTCTCTGCCCATGGTGTATACTACTTTGCCTGCAGAAGGGGGCCCTGCAGCCATTACAGTCCCACTCATTGGAGGAGATGGCAAAAATGCTGGATCAGGTGAGCATCAGTATTGCCCCTTTCCTGGGCTTCGTCTTCGTCCATTTATTACTTTTTTGGGTCATCCTATCTCTTGTCTCTTTTTACCTCCTCCAATTATTCTTGCATACTGCTTCAAGATTAATCTTTCATAAACATTGTTTTTATCGTGTCTCTTTAATGCTTAAGAAATTACAATGACTCTTTATTGTTTAGACCAGGTTTTTCAAATGGGTATGTATATCCTTCAGTGAAATATTATCTATCTTCCTTGAACCTCTGTATTATTTGATAATAAATAATTTGAAGCATTTTATATTTAAAATATGATTGTTATAGAGCAAAATGCAAAATTCAAATAACTTTTTAAGATAAAACATAAACTTCAAAAATGGTTTAAGCATACTAAGACATTTACCATAGGATTTTCCAAGTGAAAGTGTTTATTTTTCTATGCTATCAGGAGTGCTTTCATGGAAAAGTTGAGAATATTTCTATCCCTACCATACTTAGCCAATCTTACCTCCTGCTTCCCCCAACATTTTTGCTTTTCTCTTTCCTACAAAATAATGGACTTCTTTGAAATATTGCCATCTTCCCTGTGTTCTTTCTCATTTGAAGTCTATCATCCTCTCTTTCACTTTTTAACTTGCCTGTATCAGAAGTGTATGGGCATTATATCCAACTGAATTCTAAATTACTCAAGAATAAGACTCTATCTTATGAATATTTTTTTAATGTGTACCTCTCCAGAGAAACTAACATAGTGCTAGATAGCAGTTGTCCTGCAACAGATAATTTGATTAGCAAATGAACTTGACAATTGGTCCAGGAGAGAATTCATATGCTGTAATCTTCCCTTTCATTTAATTTTAAAAATAAGTTTAGAATTCAGAAAGGTATAAATTAATTCTCTCTTTCACCACTATCTTCCAACTACCTACTTCCCTTCCTGGAGGTATATCTACTTTAGTTTGTAATCAGGAATGATCAAAGAAAATTATGTGGTCTACGAAGTAGTTCAAGGTATTTAGCTTCACTGTGTCTGTAGTATTACAATCAGTTTTGGGTCTTGTGCCTTAGGAAGGACATTGAGGAACTGGAGTATAATCAAAAGAGAGAGACCAGGATGGTGAGAGTATTCAAACTCATGTCAAATGAGGAACTGATAATGTTTAGCATGAGTTAAAAATGAAAGATAAGTGGATGGAAATGACTAGGAAACAGATTTCAGCTCAGTATAAAAAAGAATTTTCTAAGAGTCTCTGCCTTTGAAATTTGATGCCCTCTACTAAATGTAGGAGGCCAAAAAACAACACACTATGCATCAAGTTACTGAGACTCTGTAGTTGTTTTTTGAATAAAAATATCATCATTGACTAGTGGCTAATTTTGGTAATGGTAGGTGTTCATAATGATCTTATTTTTGAGATACGATGTCAATTCCCATATAGGAAGGGAGAGCCAAACAAACAAACAAAAATGAACAAATAAAAAAGGAAATAAAATTCCCTGTGTGCGAGTTTGCTGAGATCAAGGTGGTGGTAGTAACAAGGGATGGTTTGCAGGAGCTTTGAATCTACACCCCATAATATCCATCAGTCCAGCAGAGCTACTCTAAACAAGCAGAATAAATTTTAAAAGCTTTCATTGTAGTTTCAAGCTAAGAACATTAGCTCAGTGGTCTCCAAAATGGGGTGCTTACTAAACCTTAGGTAGGGCACACAAAACAGTGGAATATAAGAAGTATCAAAATTTACATTTTTTTACCCTTTTTAAAAAATTGACAGATAACATTGTATGTTTTTATCATGTACAACATGATATTTTGAAGTATATATACATTGTAGGATGGTTAAATCTAGCTAATTAATAAATGAATTCCTCACATAGTTATCATTTTTATGGTGAGAGCACTTAATATCTACTCTCTACATTTTTATAAATAAAATATATCATCATTAACTATAGTTACCTTGCTGTATAATAGATCTCTTGAAATTTATTCTTCCTAATAGTAATTATGCATCCTTTGACCAACACTTCCTCACACACCATCCCCCCCAACCACCCCAACTTCTGGTAACCACCATTCTACTCTCCATTTTTATGAGATCAACTTTTTTAGATTCCACATATGAATGAGATAATGTGATATTTGTCTTTTATTTTTTTTTAGAGATGGGATCTTGCTCTTGCTCAAGCTAGCTACCACGCCCAGCCCATGTCTTCTTATACCTGGCTTATTTCACTTAGCATAATGTCCTCTAGATTTTGTCATGAATGGCAGAATTTAGTTCTTTTCCATGGCAGAATAATATTCCATTTTATATAGTTTGCAATTATTTTCTCCCATTGTGTAGGTTGTCTCTTTACTCTGTTGGTTATTTCTTTCACTATGCAGAAGCTCTTTATTAATATCTTTTTTGTTGTTGTTGTTGCAGCTATTGTAAATGGGATTGGGTTCTTGATTTGGTTCTCAGCTTGGTCATTATTGATGTATAGAAATACTACTGATTGGTATACTCTGATTTTATATCATGAGACTTTACTTAATTTGTTGATCAAATATAGGAGACTTTTGGAGAAGTCCTTAAGGGTTTCTAGGTGTAAGATATCATCAGCAAACAGAGGTAATTTGATTTCTCTTTTCCAATTTGGATGCCCTTTATTTCTTTCACTTGCCTAGTTTCTCTGGCTAGGACTTCCAGTACTATGTTGAATAGAAGTAATGACAATGGGCCTCCTCGTCATCTTCCAGTTCTTAGGGGGAATGCTTTCAACTTTTCCCCTTTCAGTATGATGTGGCTGTGGGTTTGTCATATATAACTTTTATTATTTTGAGGTATGTTACTTCTATTCCTAGTTTGTTGAGGGTTTTATCATGAAGGGATGCTGGATTTTATTGAATGTTTTTTTCTGCATCTATTGAAATGTTCATATGGTTTTTGTTTTTAATTCTATTTATATGGTGTATCACATTTATGGACTTGCATATGTTGAACCATCCTTGCATCCCTGGTATAAAACTCACTTGATTGGGATACATTATCTTTTTGACGTGCTGTTGGATTCGGTTTTCTAATATTTTGTAGAGGGCTTTTGTATTTACGTTCATCAGAGATATTGGTTTCCAGTTTTCTTTTTTGTTGTTTCCTTTTCTGGCTTTGGTATCAGGGTGATACTGGCTTTGTATAACGAACCAGGGAGGATGCCCACCTTCTCAATATTTTGGAAATGTTTCAGTAGAATTGGTACTGGTTCTTTTTTGTATATCTGTTAGAATTTGGCTATGAGTCCAGCTGGTCCTGAGCTTTGTTTTTGCTAGGAGATTTTTTATTACTAATTCAATCTTACTATTCATTATTGGTCTTGTTCAAGAGTCTTCCATTGTGTATATATACCATATATTCTCTATCTATCCATCCTTTGATGGATACTTAGATTGATTCCATTTCTTGTCTATTGTGAATATCACTGCAATAAACATAGAGATGCAGATATCTTTTTAACATATTGATTTTATTTCCTCTGGATATGTACCCAGGCAGGGGATTGCTGAATCGTATGGTAGTTCTATATTTAATGTTTTGAGGAGCGTTCATACTGTTTTCCATAATAGCTGTACTAATTTACATTCCCACCAACAGTGTATAAATAAGAGTTCCCTTTTCTCCACATCCTTGCCAACACTTGTTATCTTTTGTCTTTTTTTTCTCTCTGATTTTTTTTATTTCTGCATATTATGGGGGTACAAATGTTTAGGTTACATTGCCCTTGCCGCCCCCCCCCAGTCAGAGCTTCAAGCGTGTCCATCCCCCAGATGGTGCACATCGCACTCATTATGTTTGTATATACCCATCCCCTCCTCCCCCTTGCCATCTGCCTGACGCCTGATAAATGTTATTCCTATATGTGCACTTAGGTCTTTTTGATAATAGCCATTCTAACTGGAGTGAGGTGACATGCTACTTTTGTTTGTTTTTGCATAATGTACACAAAATTGTAGGATACTAGTACACTTACACACGCACACATCAAAATGCATGCTTAAAAATTTTTAGTGAATGATACACAAAGTATAGAGACAACTGCACTAGCCAAATACTACCCCTCACCTTATTGGCACCCTTAAGTTTTTTCTATATAGAAATTTTGAAGCTTTTACTGGATCTTGGAGACTGCTGACCACCTGATTGAGTTTTGTTAGGAATTAGAAACATCATTTGACGGCTTCTCCCAATGTAGGTGGAAAGAGCACCTATTAGATGCTAGGTACATGTTTCATCTCATTGACTTATTTCCATTTAGGAGCACAAAGGCTAAGGGAGATGTTCTCACTTCTGGAGTAATCCTAGGAATTGATCTTAGGACAGCCAGGGAACTATGCAGAAAGTTCTATTTAACAAATACACATTGAAATTAACTTTTCAGCAGACCCTGTTCTGGGAGCTGGAGATAGATGAATCATATCTAGACCCTATCCTAGAGAAACTCACATTCTAGTGGTGCAGAATGCTCCATACCACCCTTCCCTTAAAGGCATTTCTGTTCCCTGCTATGGTAATAATTAAAATGTTATTCTCTTCCTTCCATACAAATACTCTTCTTCCATCTTTGTTTCCTTTATTTCTCTATCTTGCTTCCATTTCTCAATGTGGGCCAAACTGGGAATCCTGATAATGATTACAGAGGCACATATATTTCTGGCCCACACTGCTCCCTTTCTTTGCTTTTAGTGAAAGTTGACCCTACCTCCATGTCTCCACTGGGGATTCCAAGTGACAGCGAGGAGAGTGCAACTGAGAGTGGATCCTCCACCTTACAGAGTCTGCAGGGACTACAGCAAGAGTGAGTACTTTTATCTTTACTTCAGGTCATCACATGTGTTTGCACATACACACATGCACACATACATAGAGATGGAACTAATTATCAGACACAAGGGTAAGAATTTGAGGACAATAAAATATTGGTAAAATATAGGTAAATATAGGTAAAATGCCTAAAGTTATATGAATTTATGTGCACACAAGTGCATGTACATGTATGTTATGGTAGAATTAATGTTCTAATTGTAGATTATCAACTTTACCTTTGAAAAATCTTCAAATTTTCCATAAAGTATACTTGTATACTGTTTCTCTCTATTTAAAACAGCCTTGTATTCCAGTGTTAGAATTAATTCGAAGTAGTTGACTTATGTTTAGCAACCATGTTGTATCAAGAATATATTTCTTTAAGCATAGGAATGAGACTTATGGAAGTGAAATGTTCAAACTGTTTGAGAACACAACCACCCAAAGAAAGATTACCACCTCCCAAGCTATCTCAGGGACCTGTACTTACTGAGCAGAATGGCCTAGTTGAGAGAATTGTTTGTACTATTTCAATTATTTCTTCTCCTGGGGATCTAGTATTAAATTAACACAAATTAAAAGCAGATATGAGGTGGCACCACTGTATTTAAGTCCATTTATTTGGCCTCCACTTTAAAGTCATTCTTTAACTTTATCTCTATTTGCTCAGATCAACAACAATGGCCCAAATGCAGGGAGAAGAGTTGCTTGACTTGAAGAGAAGACGGATTCACCAGTGTGACTTTGCAGGATGCAGCAAAGTGTACACCAAAAGCTCTCACCTGAAAGCTCACCGCAGAATCCATACAGGTCTGCCCACTCTCATCACACCCCCAACACACACCCACACACACACACACAGAATTTCTGAAAGATAAGAGAAGGAAGTCTTGAAACAAGACTGATTCATTGATACCCATGAGGACAGCCCCACTGATGGTTTTCACCCCTGTGTCTTGTTCCTACTCTAAGAAAACTTTTATAAAACCAGCCTAAGAAAGCACTAAGCCTGGTGTCTTCTGAATAGTCATCATCCTCAGTAAGCACTTGTGTAGTTTTTCTAATTGGAAAGTCATCACACTGGATTTTGGTATCTACAGGGGAAGAGGGGTCCTGGAATCAATCCCCCACAGACACTGAGGGAGCACTGTATTAGGAAATATCCTTATTATTAAAGAAAAGCAAAAAAAATCAAGATTTTTATTTTTCCTAGATTTTGAATGTTGACATCTAGTTGAAATTTTTTTTAAAACACCGAGAATTGAAAGAAACTTGACTAGAAGCTAGATGCAGCTTGTCAGTCATCAATTTATGCCCTTTCCCTTGGAGACTCCTTCTTCCCAGTGATCTCCAGTTCAGAATCGGGACTTAAACATCTTGGATAAGGAAGAAGCTCTCCTTTATTGTAAACATCTGTTGTGTTACATTTACTGCATTAGGGTTTGTGTAGAAGGACCCAGAGCCCTCATTGCTGTGCCTTGAGGCTATGAACAGGTGACTGATTTCTAGGCTGCACAGTCCCAACGTTCCCATGACATTATTCTTATTTACTGATGTTTTTGTTTGGTTCTCTTCTATGTGGGTGGATGCTGACTATACATAGCACATATAATATATATAATACAAAATATATTTTATATATACTGACTATATATGTTTTAAATATTTAAACATAAATTTTAAACATGAAGAAACAAAATAGTTTACTGGAATTTGGTGTATGCTTCATCCAACTTCAAGAATTATATCAGTACATGGCCAGTTTTGTTCCTTCTACATCCCCCCGAACTTCCCCCATTCACCACTGTATAATTTTGAAGCAAATTCCAAACATAATATCATTTTAGTCATAAATACTTAAGAATATATTTTAGCACAGTTAAAAATAAGTACAATAATACTATCACAAAAAATTTCTTAATATGAATTTTTCCCCAATGTCTAATAACTATTTTTAAAAGTTTGTTCAAATCAGCATCTAAACAAGTCTCATCCATTGAATTGGTTGATATTTCTCTTAAATATCTTTTTAATCTTTAATCACTCTTCATCTTTGGGTTTTTCTTCCATTTTATTTGTTGAAGAACCTGGGTCATTTGTCCAATAGAGTTTGCCGTATTCTGGATTTTTCTGATTATATCTTCATTATGTCATTATAGCATGTTCAGTATTCCCCTTAGTTTCTGTAAACTGATAGTCCTATCAGGAGGATTAATCAGATTCAAGTTGAATTTTTGGCAACAATATATCATAAAAGGTACTGTGTACTTTCTGAGGAACATGCTACTTGGTTGTCTCTGTGCGGTGTTAAGATTGATCAGTGGGTTTGGAGTCTCTGACCTATATTTTCCAGATGATTATGAAGATAGAAAGCAGATCTGAGCCAGGCATGTTGACTCACGCCTATAATCCTAGCACTCTGGGAGGCCGAAGGAGGAGAATTGCTTGAGTCCAGGAGTTTAAGACCAGCCTGAGCAAGAGCTAGACCCCGTCTCTACAAAAATTAGAAAAATTAGCCGGGCATCGTGGTGTACACCTGTAGTCTCAGCTACTCAGGAGGCTGAGGCAGGAGGATCATTTGAGCCCAGGAGTTTGAGGTTGCAGTGAGCTATTATGATGCCACTGCACTCTAGCCTGGGTGACAGAGTGAGACTCTGTCTCAAAAAAATAAAAAAAAAATCAGATCTGAAGGGAGTTGAATGAATTCATTTAATGATAGGCAATGTGATATGGTTTTATTAATAGCATACATATATCATAGATTTATTCAGATAGTATTGAGTTTTAATGTCCTTTCCTTACTACAATCCATTCCTCACACACACATACACAAAGACATTGATTGACATCAGTTCACATATCCCCACCTTTAGGTTTTAAAATTAAGCTCCTTGAAGGTATAGAGGGAAAAACAATGAGCAGGGAGCTTAGAATACCTGAGTTCTAATCCCAGCTCTCCAGTTAAGCTGCTGTGTGATCTAAATCTTCTCTACCTTTTTAATTCTATGTTTCCTCAACCATAAAATAAGAGGTTTGAACTCAGTGATCCATGTGACTATTTTATTCTGGAACCCTGTGGCTTGAATTTAAATGTAGCCTAGTGTATGCCCTTCTATTAATAGAAAGTCCCAAATGTATCAGGTTGGAAATTGCTTTACAACACTAAAGGTATGGCCATCTTTCCTGTCAGCTATCTATTCTTGAACTGAAATAAAAACAGATTATTATTTGATTTTATTTACTTTTCAGATTGCAATACTGTTTTTCCCCCTTGTAGTGTCAGCTTCCCATATGAAGGGAAAAAATAAGCCTAAAATATAGACAGTTCTAAGCTTTGAGTTATAGGTGAATGCCTGATCTGATAAGAGATCATGACAGTCAGATGGCTGGTGAATGGTGACAACTGATGTCTACTTGAATCTCACTTTGTTTAGATTCAGGATTGTTCTTATTCTACTCAGTTCTTAGGACTGACATGAAGTCTTTGCCATGAGTATGTGACCATAGGAATAGTCGATTGAAGGCACTTCACAGAAGCAATTTAATTTGCCCTAACTGCTTGACTCACAATAGGGTTAGTCAGTTTGGGAAATGAGGTGGCAATTCTGTGTTTACCCCCACCCCTGGACTATTGTAGTAGGCTGCTAACTGGTCTTTCTGCCTTAATTCTTTCCTCACTACAATTCATTCTCCACACAGCAACCAGAGGATTTTCATGTGTTTGCTTTTGTTTTGTTTTGTTTAAATGTTAATCGGATCATATAACTTCTGCTTAAAATCCTCTAATGGCTTCCCATTATACTCTGAATGAAATTCAAATTTCTTATAATGTCCTAAAAGGCTTTGTGAGATCTGGCCTCTGACTAGTTTCCTCTCATGACACTTCTTATTCTTTAGATCTCAGTTTCAATGTCTTCTGATCAGGAAAATCTTCCCTAACCCTATTTTAAGTAGTGTCTCCTCCCAATTATCTACATGAGAAAACATTGTTTAATTTCTTGATAGGAAGGGTTTTTAAGTAGGAAGAATAACACAAATAATATGAGGAGGAGCCAGCTGTACAAAAAGTTTGGGGAAAGAGTGTTCTTGGCTAGGCAGAGTACAAAAGCTGCAAGACGGAAATAATCTTGCTTTGTTCTAATAACAGAATTCCAGCAAACTAGGGCATATTGATTACAGTGATGGGTGGGGGAAAAATTGATGTGCAAGAGCGGAAGGGGGAAGACCATCTAAGAGGCTAACGTAGTGATCCAGGCAAAAAATGATGGCAACCTATGTAGAGTGTTGTTCATGGAGGTGGAGAGAAGCAGTTATATATATATTTTCTTATTTCAGCATATTATGGGGGTACAGATGTTTAGGTTACGTATTGCCCTTGCCCGCCTTCCCCCCCAAGTCCAAGCTTCAAGTGTGTCCATCCCCTGGATGGTGTGCATCGTACCCTTTGTGTATGCATGTACCTGTCACCTCCTCCCCCCGCCCCCCTCCCCTGCCCGACATCCAATATATGTTATTCTTATATGTGCACTTATCTGTTGATCAGTTAATGCTAATTTGATGGTGAGCACATGTGGTGCTCGTTTTTCCGTTCTTGGGATACTTCACTTAGTAGAATGTGTTCCAGCTCTATCCAGGAGAATGCAAGAGGTGCTATATCACCATTGTTTCTTAAAGCTGAATAGTACTCCATGGTATACATATACTACATTTTATTAGTCCACTTATGTATTGATGGACGCTTGGG